ATTACGTTGCTCCTTTACTTAATGTAAGCTCCCCCTCGCTGGCTTTCTACTGTAATATAAACTCTAGGAAGATAGCAACTTGGTCAATATCACTCTCTGTTTTGTCTCCAGAAAAGAATAACAGCCAGAAACTGCAGCCCATAAATGATGCTTGGAACATAAGCCTATATGTTTGACAAGGGGCAAATATTCCAAATATATGAAGCACACCTAAAATTCAATACTAAAAAAAATTAAAATGTACAATAAGTCAAAATAAACATCTTAAAATGGTGACAAGGAATAACAAGTATAAGAAAAAATCAACATCATTAATCATCATGAAAATATATGGTACAGTAAAAACATTTAATATAAAAATGGTGCAAAGATTAGGAGGTACTAGTGAGGGTGTGGGGAAAGGCAATGCTTTCACTGTTGGTAGAAATCGAAATAGTCATTATGGAGAACAGATTGGAGATTAGAGACAGAACTACCATCTAAGAGTGATGGAGTAGGACACCTGATGGTCTCCATATGTAAGCGCAGATTCATGTATCCACACACATGTATATGAATGCATAGCACACGTAAACTGAACACACATCAATATATATTAAATTTGCTAGTAATAAAATCACAGTTCTGATCATGGCTAGTCTTTAGTAACTTTGCAGATTGGTTAGTTGCATCCAGGACAGCTACATGTGATATAGGCTGTCAATGCATTAGCATGCATTCAGAGGACATCTCTCCCACCCAGCTTTGTGACTTTGGAAAAACTGTAAATCTTTGAATAAGTTTTCTCAAATGTGAAGTGTTTAGAAGCTTATGTTGGGATTGTTACTTAACCTAGACAGGGACCTTATCATACACAGTTCCTTTCACTCATTAAGTCTTTTTTGAATGTTAACTACTGTCTTAGAAGACAGTGTTGTTTTTGTGTAAGCCAGGAATAATGCATTCATCCATAGTCAGGGTTTCAGACATAGAGGCCAATAGCTAAGCCAAGGCTCTTCTTCATTAACAATAACATTAGACTCAGGAGTTAAATTTTCTTGATAGCACCTAAGTTTTGAGAAGAGACGTTAGCATACATATGAACTTCCTAAATATACATATATATGTGAATACACACACACATGCACATGTACACATCCATATATATGAAGGGATATCATTTTAGGCTTTTGAACAGTTAAGATTCTGAGTTCAGCTCTGCAGTTAATTTAACACTTCAAAGAGATCAATCTAAAAATTACATTTTTCTTAAACACGTTAATGAAATATTTGACTAATTATAATTTTCTTTTTTCAAAATTTACTAACTTACTAATAACTACTGTTTAAATGGCTACATAAAATATTAGATAAACAAATAGCTAAGAAGCAGTAAGTGCTAACAACACACAAAGTGTCAACAACACGCACACGTGTGCGCGCACACACGCGCGCACACACACATACACACACACACACACACACACACACAATTTCCATGGGATTTGTGAGAAGGTTTTTGTTTCTTTGGTATGCACAAAGTAGGTAAGTTGGTAGAAGAAAACAAAAGTCCTTGTATATCTCAAAAGACAAGCTTAAGTATTACTGTGATGGGCAATGCTTGCAGTGAATTCTGTACCTGAACTAGGAGTTGTATTAAGATGTTAAACTTCTGCTGGCTGGGCTGATTACCTATTTTTGGCCAGACTAAGGAAATAAAAATTGTATAACATTCTGTGGTAAAAAGTGTATATGATAGCACTTGCTGGTTTTAAAGTCATCTCTTCACACATGGTTACAAAAATGAGTCTATCAGCACAGCCCATGTCTTCTGAGCTCACCCCGGCCTTGGTATCAACTCAGCGTAAGCACTTGTAGCATAATAGCCCTGTGCTTACATACAAATCTGTGACAAGCAATTGTGCAACGTTGCCTGTGATTGCAGATCATCTCTATAACTACACAAGCATTTGAAAAACTTGACAAATAGAAGAGAATACAAGTAGTTACTCTATCAACACATATTTTTATTCTAGAGCTGATATTCAATATATATTATATTACTCTGATACAGACACAAAGTCATCTGAAAAATAATGAAAATTGACTTTGAAATTATCCATCAGAGTATTCTCATCTTCACTGAAAACCATCACAGCAGCTTTCAATGATCTGGTGTAATCAGTGCTTGGGATGAGCTGATTCATCAAAGCTGCAGATAAGAGTCACCAGTGTTGACAGTGGTTACCTTTGGTGTCCTTCACAACTTTTAAAAGCAGTTAATAAAATGATCCCATTTCCTTAATAGTGATAACAAAAGGGAATGGTTGTAAATATATTCTGATTCCAGGCAGAGATTCTGGGGAAGAAATTAACGTTGCATCTGGATTTAAAGAAATGAGCTGACACATGCTTGGCTGTCCAGTCATATTCCAATCCTAGCTCCACCTTCCTCCAGATGTACAAGGAATCAGAATGCAGGCAGCTGATATTAAGGAACTACATAGAAAGGGACAATTCCCAGCTTTCCATATTGATAATTCAGTCTTAACAGACAGAAACAATGCCCAATGCTTAATATTGCATTTTAGGAGTTCATTGGAGCATGTTTCTTCAGAATTAAAATCTCTGATAAAGGAAGGGCTCCAGAGATGCTACGAAACAAGTGCTTGGTATGATTAACTTAATATATCTCTGATTGCTTTCATTTTACTGCATTTTTTGCATAAAAGACTAAGAAATAAGATCTTACAGCTAAGAACATCTAGAGCGGCATGAAAGTCAGTTAACCATAATGAATCATCCATAACCCTATCTCAGCTAACGTCATGGCTTCACTGGACTTCTCTGCTGGTTCTTCGGCAAGGAACCACCTTTCATTTCACTTGAACACTCTTTTCAGCCTCACGTGAAAATGAAATGCCCTCATTTCTCAGAAGCAGCTTTTCTATTTCCTCTGTCCTTGTCCTCTTTGGCCAGTTAGATCAGACCTTCACTGCCTCAGGATACCATGTTTGTTCTAGTATTTCCCAATTTGATGCCATCCTTCACATTAGATGGGTATAGCCTTTCCTCTCATGCCAGATTTGCTATCTCATTCACGGGCTCCAGAACTGACAAAAGTCCTTTGTACTGCTCATGGCCTATTATACAAATTTCAAGTGTTCTTTTAGACATGAATTTCCTTATCGTTTCTCAATCCATTCTGCTGTTGTCGATTCTTTCCTGTGGTTTCTATTATTTTGTTATGAATTATCCATTTCCTTTCAATCTAACTGTTCTCAGTTAATCTTTTGGTTATCAAGTTCAAGGCTCACAATCTCTGTAGAGCTATTAATCATTTTCCCATTGCTTAATTCTATATAGTATTCTCTTCAATTCTTTTCACATCTAAACTACACAATGTAACACTAAATGCATAAGTAAAATTGATATTCTGCATGTAGATGCATGTGTCAATGCACATTATGCACATTTACAGAAATGTCTAAGTTGTTATTATTTCATGTGAATGGGTTTTTGGATTTCCAACTAAGCTGCAAGTATATTGTATTCAGTTTCCCTGTGGTATTATTGATTTTTTTCAGCTTGTTCCTTTTAGAATCTGCTCATCAATAAATGTGTTTTGATTGATTAATCATTATTTCAACTTTAATTTTTTTTGCTTTTCAACTATATGCGTTTTGTTTTTGTCTTATTTATGTAGAACAAGAAGGTATTGATGGAATATTAGATAATTGTTTGTAACTGTATGCCCCTTCCTTTTAGGAGTACACTGGTCCACTCCATTGACTTTGAACCTGGTCAGTGGGGTATGAGTAGATGTGTGCTGCATCTAAGAAAGAGGTGAGGCAAGAAAGCAAGTGCCTGGTACTCTCTTTACAATGAGAACAGGCTAAGCAAGACTAGGATGCTTTGCTAACCTGGGCCGTAAAACTGGGAGCTGAAAAGAAAGTAGATCTTTAGATGACTCCCAGCTCAGAGCAGCAGCTCTCATGGTTCAGGAATAGAAACTTTGGAGTTTGTTTTCATTTCTAAAATTACTGACTAATACAGATCATTAGACGCAGTCTTCATCATTTTTCAGAGGAGAAAGGTCTAGCTTTTCTATGGTCACTCAATGGAAGAGCTCTGACATGGTTACGGATGGGTGCTTTGCAGATCTCTGCCCTCTGAATTTACTGCCCTTTTGCTGTTTTCCAGTTTGAAGAAACACATCTGAGATTTATGCTTAGTGCTTGCTGTCTGAACCCAAGTGCTTTTCTGATCTGGCATTATCTTCTAGTGAGTATCAAGTAATAAAGGGTAAAATTAATGTCACATAGCCAATATCTCTACCTAGAAAATCGTGACCACCCCCCGAAGTCAAAGTTTGTCTTGTAAATAGAATGAGATGCTGTGATTCTTTCTGATAGAAATTATTAATCTAAAAATATTGCCAAACTTTATTTCTTAAACAATTTCCTGTCACACAACATTCTAGATTGAAGGTGGATGTATTATCTTTATAAGTTTTTCCCTGTGTTCCATGACAATCATCTCACACACACTTTAATACCAGATGGAGAATTCTAAAGTATTTATCATTCCCTTCATAAAATTCCAATGCAAATATCCATATATATATATATATATGCAAATTAGTATTCAAATTTGGTCCCGAAGTACATTTTGTGCTTTAATGTTCTTAGAAATAAGTTAATTTCCACAACTCTATGCTGTTCACTTCCTTAAATGTAGACTAGACTGCTTAGCTTCCATCTTAATTTGTAGCACATCTACTCTATTATATTGGAGAGTGAAAGAAGTTATATACAACAATACTTTACTCTTATTTATGGAGAAATAGAACACATTTTAGACAAGACATTTCTTGTAAGACAACCACTGATTGGAACTGTTTTCATATAATGATTTTTGTAACAGAAAGAAAAATGTGATGCACCGGACAGTGTAACTAAGTATATTTTTAAAGTCTAAATTCCCTCCTTTTTTAAATTTAGACCATTTAATAGCCTTACCTTTGTGAAAAGACATCTCGGTAGGGGCTGCCATGCTGCAGTGCAATCCCATACCCCCGGTCAGCAACAGTATTCCCAACGGTGTAGAAGGAGCAGTCTGGGTCATTGATAGCCACATATTCCAATACAGCTGCATCCCATACAAAAGCATAGTTTCCATATTTTACCTGTGAAATATGAAGGAAGGATTAAAATAAGACTTACGGTTGAAAATTACATAGAATAATAAATATTACAATAGTATATAGAATACGTGTGTTTAAGGAAACTCATATTTGAGTTTCTGTTAGTCTATAGCTCTTTACTTCTAGAAATGTGAGAAGGTAGAACACTATCCATGCTTCCAGAGAACATGGCTTGTAATAAGAGGATCCTTGAGTTGTAGATGTCATGTGGATTGGAAGAAGGTTAAAAGCATGTCTCTGAGTTTGCATTGAGCCTTGCTACTTAGATTTTCATGAGGGACAATTAAAATCTATGATTCTAGAATTATTAAGAGATGCTGACTTGGTTAGGTTCCGAGGCCGCTAAACTAGGCATCTTTCTTCATAGTCAATACAGCTTCCTCATGACCCATGTTTTACATAAAAGCTCACAATTCCCATTAAGGAGAAATTACTAATACCACTCCACCCGCAGTCCTCACTTTGTTCTTCTGAGTTCATGTCTTTCCAAATACAGATTGTGGAGCTCTTACAATTGGAGATAAAATAAATCTCTCTCAAATGTTTTGTTGACATGTTAGAAAGTTTTATCTTATGCATTATATTGTCATGTCTTCTCTCCCAAAGAAGCCTTATTTTCCTTGATGGTCATTACAATTAGGAAAACAATTAATTCTACAACAACCTTCTTCATCAATATTTGGGAACATAAATTCATAGTGGGTCATCTACAATGTATTTTAGTAATTTTTTCAGTCAATAATAACTCATATGAGAGCCCACTGTTATGGTTTGGATTTAATATGCCTCGCCCAAAAGATCATGTGTAGTTGGCTAAGGATGCAGCCGGTGGTATGGTTTAGAGTTGGATGGCTCATGAGGCCACGGACTTCATCAGTGGATGAGCTCATTGACAGGCTCGTAGCCGCATAGACTCTTGGGTAGGGCAATTAATAGACCCTTAATTCTTGGCAGCATGTTGTCAGCTTTGGAGATATTTCTTGTCCTTGGGCCCTTCCTCTTTGTCCCTGCTTCTTGTCACACCTAAGGTGAAGTGCTCCCCTCCTCTCTCCATGTCCTCTCATCATGATGCCCTCTGCATAAATAACAACCGTGTACAACTATGGTCTGAAACTATGTTCCTTCTACTCTTAAGTTGTTTTCTCAGATGTGAGGTCACAGTGATAAAAAGTAACTGATACACACATTTATCATGAAAGCGATTATGAAGGGGCCGGAGAGAGGGGCTGCTCTTCAAGAACGTTGTTTCTGAACCTTCCCAATACTGCAGTTCCTTATATTGTGGCAACCCCTAACCATAAAATTATTTTTGTTGCTGTTTTATAAAACTGTAATTTTGCTACTGTTATGAATCATAATGTGAATATCTGTGGGGTTTTTTTGATGGTTTTAGGCAACTCCTGTGAAAGGGTCATTCAAACCCCCAAAGGGGTCATGACCCATAGTTTGAGAGCCACTGTTATATAGGACCTGGGTTTCATTCTCAGCATCCACATGTTAGCTTACAATGTTCTGTAACTCCAATCCTAGGGAATCTGACACCTACTTCTGTCATCCCGTGGTACCAGGCATGCACATGGTGCATAGACATACATGCAGGCAAAACACTCATACACACAAAATAAAATTTAAATAATTTTAAAAAGGAATGAAATAAGCAATTATGATAAACATCTCAATAAAGTTTATCTAGAAAATATTAAGTATAAAGATAAAATTTAATGAATTCATCGAACAAACAATTAAACCCCAAAGTTACTGTATTTATATTAAAAGAAGAATGTAGCATTATTAAAATGAAAGGGGTCATTGGAGATGGCTTAATGGCTAAACTGCCTGCTATGCAAGCAAAAGGATCAAAGAATCAGATGCCTAGATCTCAGGTAAATGCTGGGTGGGCATGGCAGCTCACCTCTACTGCCAGCCTTGGAATGAGACAGGGACAGGGACAGAGACAGGGATTCTCAGAGCAAGTTGGCTAAAGAGACTAGCCATGTTAGTGAGTTCTGGGTTTGACTGAGAGTTTCTGCCACAATGAATAAGGTAGGAGAGTGATGGAAGAAGATTCCCAATATTAATTTCAGGCCTCAAAATGTCACATACATGCATATGTATCCTCATATCTGTGAACATGTATATGCACATGAAAAAGAAGAAAAAAGAAAATAGAAAGAAAAGCGATATTATTTCAGTGTTAACCAAGTACCAGGAAACTACCTCTTGTAAGGAAGGGAGGCATCATAAAAAACTGAAATAGGGCCAAAGAGATAATTTAGTGTTTAATAGCACTTGCTGCTTTTCTAGGGGACCCAAGTTTTGTTCCTAGAACCCATATCAGGTGGCTCACAGCCATGCAACGCCACCTCCTGATGCCTCTTGTCTTCTGAAGGATCTAGAGTTACATGTACATACCCACATGCACACAAATACACACACACGATTAAAAATAATAAAAATAATCTTAAAAATGTTGTTTCACTTGATTCTTTGCCAGGTATGGTGGTGTACACCATTAATCCTAGAACTCAGGAGGCAGAAGCAAGAATACTCTCTGAGTGTGAGGCCAGCTGGTCTATGCTACTGAGTCCCAGGCCAACCAGAGCTACACAATGAAATGCTCACTCTCTCCCTCTAAATAAAAAAAAAATCTTTAAAACATTTGCCAATAATTAACACAGCTATTTATATCTATTATTATTTTTTGTTTTTTATGACATGGTTTTTCTGTGTAGTCGTGCCTCGTCTGGAACTCACTTTGTAGACCAAGTTGTCCTCAGACTCAGAGATCCAACTGCCTCTGCCTTCAGAGTGCTGGGATTAAAGCAGTGAATCACGACTGCACAGATCATTCATCTGTTTTTAAACCAGGAGGTAATCATCATTTTCAGTGAAATATAGTTTCTTCAGGCAGGCACTGTGGTGCATGCCTTTAATTCCAGAACTTGGGAGGCAAAGGAAGGTGGATCTCTGTGAATTTGAGGCCAGACTGGTTTATATAGTGAGTGCTAGGACAGTGAGAACTACCTCGTGAGACACTATGTCAGAAAAACTATAAAGAAATAAAGAAATATAGAGTCCTACCAAAAGCAAACCATTAATAACTCTAATGGTGTTGCCAACGGATCAAGAGAATGATGTCTGCTATTACTTCAGCTTGACACTATGGTGGTATATTAGCCTGTGCAATAAAAGAGGGTACTAGAAAATGATTTCATTCTTTCAGGAAAAATTTGTTATGAGGTAGAGACAAAATTATATTATTTTATAACATAAAAAGCCTGCAGGAATTAACAGAACAAGTATTTGAAAGTATTTTAAGACAAGGACTAACTATAAGTAGGCAGATACATATCACTTGCTGTCTTATAACTTACCAATAAAAAATATATTTGAGAAGAATATCCACTTACAATAAATACAGCTACTTAGTAAAAATTTAATAGCCTATCATTTGACCCTACATAAAAGAGTCTTAAAGACAATGCAGAAGAACTTGTTTTTATCTAAGTGTAGTATATCTCCCAAAGTCTAGATGCACAGTTGAAAAAAATATACATATATATATACATATATGTACATATGTATACATATATATAGTATTCCTCAAGTTATTTGAGAATTTAATACAATTTCAAGATTTTTTCTTTTCTTCCTTCCTTTGTTTCTTTCTTTCTTTTTTCTCTTTGAGACAGGGTCTCACTATGTAGCTCTCCTGGAACTTACTATGTAGACCAGGCAGGCCTCGAACAAACAGAGATCCACCTGTTTCTGCCTCCTGAGTGCTGAGGATTAAAGGCATGTGCCACCATACTTGTACAATTCTAGATTTAAAAAGAACAGTTTAAGGCCTATTAGTCACCTTCTATGGCTTTAAAATCTTTGCTTTTTCAATAAAAAGCTTCTCATGAAATAATGAATGGACTAAAACTGTCAGGGCAGTTCGTCAGACTACAACCATCACAATCACCAGAGGATTCTTGTATTAGAAAGAAAGATACAAAATCACATTGCAGATTTGCTACATTGAATATTGGAAGCTTAAAACCTGGGAGCATGTGTTTCAGCAACTCTTGCAGAGTATGCATAGCCTTCCTTAAATACTTCTGTTGCTACTGTTGAAACGCCAGTGTAAGGAACCATTTTCTACAGATAAAGTGTAAGAAAAATTAACAGGGAGAGAATCCCAGAGTACTGATGTAGAAGAAACTGGGAATATTTGACTAAAAGTTTCCCCTGCACTGAATCTCATGTCTGCAGATTTATTCCATAGTTTTTTTTTTCTCTTTCTCATCCTTTGTATCAGACATCAAATGTCTGGTCTATTTCCAGATTCCTCTGTCTAACTCTATGATTTTTGAGATATATCAGTGACATTGAAACTTCCTCTAGGAACCCATTTTGACCTGTTCTCTTCTGTGTCAACAGCCACTATGTCTTCTAGAACTCCTTCCAGCTTCTTTAGAATGGTGCCCCATGGTTGGGTACATCCCACTATGCTAACTAGAAAAGTGCTCTAGGGCTATCGGTACTACGTTGTGAGCTGTGACATTGCACCTCAATGTATGGCAACATTATTGTTGCTGTTACACATGCTATTTCTAGCAATTTAATGTTAGGAAGCTTTATGAGTGAATTTTTAAAGAGAAGTATTAAGATGGTGTGATGATAGCCTGTAGCAACACCAGTGAAACAATTTTTAAAATGTTCTTGACATTTTTCATTGCCTAAAGCATGCAATCACTGGCCTTTGGATGGTTTTAAACTATCGAATTAAAACCATTGAGAAAATAGTCATTAGCAAAGGCTACAGTCATCCTTCAAGGGAGAAAATAATTGAGAGGCTGGTCGAGGAAATGACCAATCCATCTGACTAGGTGGTGGATGTTTCACAAAATTTCCACTAGCTTTTGTTGTTGAGATCATTTTGGATTAGCAGCTGAACTGAATGTCATTGATATATTTACAAGTGTGGGGCTTCACTC